TTGCTGAAATCATCTGTACAACCTTGAAACAGAGTATAGAAATCAATTAAGAGATTCTCATCAACATGGTTTAAAAGGCGGTCAGAAAGTCGTTGAAACTGATCTGATTGGAGACAGGAAAAATTAAAAATATAGTAGAATTATGAGAAAAAATGATAGATAAGTGATAAAAATGATAAAAAGTGCTTCTAATGATAGATGATCAATTGCGGATCTATCAAACCTTAGTTGAGTGGCAAAAAATGAGAGAAATTTGAAAACATGAAGAACACTCCGAAAAGCTGGTAATCAGTGAAACGATAAAGTCACACAGCTTATGCCTACGATATCAATAGCTAGTCTGGGCACTGAAAAGTGTTCATATTGAAAGGGGCTCAACACTCAGGAAGCTCACAAGGAAAAATTCAATAGATATGTAGGGATGGTTTCGGGAAGAGTCAACGTCCATTGGTACAAATATCAACAGGGGTTGTGATTGCGATTTTGTAGGGGGTTGTATCTGCGATTTTGAGAAGGAGGGGGCGCATTGGGGTTGGTGAAGACCAAAAGATTTAAAAGGGTGTTTGTGAAAGTTGAAGGGCTCGTTGTTGAGACGCGGAAGAAAGAGAGGGGGGTCGTAAAAATTTTGAAAAAGTACAAACTATAGGGTTGACCTTGGTTCAGAATCACTAGCGACTATGTCCCCGGATGTTACTCCAATCCAAGAATTCCCCATCTCCTCTACCGTAGCTTTAGTTTTACGGCAGTTTTTCATTGAGATTCAGGGATATCTGAGCACTCACTCCCATCTTGCAGTAATACAGTAGGACACCACCTATGAGTCCCTTCATGTTATCTCAAGAGCTGCGTAAATACGCGACGTCGTCATTTGAGTAAACTGTCGTCGAAATTCGCTGAATCCTTCAACATCCAAGCCTACCGTATTTCTCTTGCACTTTTCAAATTTTGCTCGTCAGCAACGGTAAATCGAAGCAAATCATTCGGTACTGACAGCCGCCGGTGCAAGCCCGAAAGCCGAAAAGTGATTGGCACTGATCGAATCTCTTGACATGCACCTCTCGCACTATTTTCCTCTCAAGCTGTAAAGTCACCTCAACGCTCATACAACCAACCTGGAAAGAGACTTAGACATTCCCACCTTCTTTAAAACCACCAACAATCTAAAAAAGAAAGGAAAGGTTTCTTTTCTTCAGCGCGTTTTTAAAAGTTGACAGGTTTTTGGAAAGCACTAAAACAGTATTTACAAGAATGGTGAGTTGTGGGCAAGACTTTCGCCCCAGACGGATTTGTACCCGAATCTAACTGGCAGCACAACTGCCTCGGAAAGCAAGAGATCCGGGTACGAATCCCGGCTGGGGCGAAAGTTTTGCCCACAACTCAGCATTCTTGTGATAACTTTCGCAACGCGAACTGCGGCGTAAAACAGCAGCCAAAAAAGTCTGAAAAATTCTGCATTTTCGTCTCGCTTCGCAATTCTTTGAACCAGAATGGGCACAGCTGACCCCATGGACTGTTCAATGTGCATAGCTTGCAGTCGCAATTTAGCCGCTGCGCACTTCTAGCGCGTATTAGTGGGTTAAATCTATTCGGGTTCATCCACGCTTAACACAATAGACCAATCAATAGAAAGCACTAAAGGATAAAGGATAAAGCATTTGCCGTTGATCAATCCCTTTTTGGGATGCGGCACGCATTCTACTTCCATTTACATTCGCAGTGGCATTTGAATGCGATGTGGCCTATACAATGACTTGCGGGGGCCAGCCGATGTTCAAGTCAGTGTTTTTATCCTCCCAGACAAGTCTGGTACCAATTAACCGACCCCGGAGGGATGGAAGGCTTGGTTGGCCCGGGCGGATTTGATCCCGGACCGCTCGCGTGGTAAGCGCGCCACTTGTCACTACACCACTTCTGCCCTTAGACGACATTGGGCTCAGTGAACTACTGGAAACTGCAAGAGTTCGGAGAAAAACCCACAGTTTCCATGGTATCGATTGATTGATTGATTGATTACATGAGCAAGTGAATCATGTGAAACATAAAGAATCGATCAATCGATCAATAGCTCTCGAAATATTCGGGCAGAAAACCGCTAAGCGCTCCGTGACATTGACACCCTTGCTGCTCGGCGAATGCGATTAACGTTTTTCCAGATGAAAGAAGGGTATTTCCAACAGGAACACACAACACATTGATTCAGGTGTCCTTGTTTTTAAGCCTTATTGACACTTCTTCCAAGGAAAAAACCCAACGATGACCCTGGAAAGAGGGGGGGGGGGGATTGTAAGTAATTGATGGTCCACTCAGAATACGGAAATATGATTGTGGATCATATGGCCTGTTGTTCCACACAGCTGAGCTTAGAAACACTGCTAATTAGCACAAAGTTCCGAAAGGCACGTCATTAGCGGATTGAGAGGGAGATGGGAAGAGCACGAGTTTGCGAGAACAAATCGGAAGTTCGAGAATCTCACGAACAACGACGACGATTTATCTAGCGGCGGGAAAAGAGCAACGGACGACCAAGCTTGACGATGAGAGGGTGGGTGAGCGGAAGTGCAATAAGATGAGCTAGCAATGGGGATGGCAGTGTAGCAGCATAAGAAAAAGGCGATAATATGTCCGGACAGACACGAGAATGGCGGCCACGACGAGGTGGAAATCGTCGTTCAAGCAACAAAGGAGGTGATCGACTGATAAAGCCTTATCAGTGAAGCACATTTCGAATCTTAGAAGAACGAGGAAAGCAGACGAAAGAACAACAAGCAGCTGAATCAAAACCACGAAAAAGGAGAAAACAGCAGTGAAAGAGATTTTGAGGGGGTAAATGAAGCGCCGAGCCAAGGGATGAACACAGGGCTCGAGCGCTCCGCCGAGGGGTGAAGAAGCAAGTCGGCGGCCGGCACATCCTGTGAGTCATTTAGAATAAATAATTCGTAGCAGTATGTCCGCGCGTTGATGCAACTACGTTGTCGTCGAGAGATGCAAACGGGCGACGATGCAGGGCGCCCACACAAAACAAGCAGCACAGATCAAGATGACCTTCTCAAGTGATATCAGTGATATCGAGACCTCCTGAACATTTCCAGGAAGAACTGTGGGAGGACCGACTGCGCCAGGACTTCAACAGTTATTCAAATAATGGCTCCATAAACGCAGCTGCAGAATTGCTGCCACACTTGCCCACAGGGTGAACGGTCACATTGTAAAAAACAACCCTTCACCTCTAGGGATGGGTGCAAGAAAGCTTGGCTGGGAATGGGTCCCCAAAAACCTGCAGCGTCTCTACTCCTGGACGATAACTTTCCTCATCGATCAAGGATAGGGGGATGTTGTCGAAGATGCCGACAATTTGAGAGCAACCTCAGGCGCGTGACTTGCTGCATACGACCCCTGGAGTGGGTCTAAACCACCCGCCCCCCCCCCCCTGGTGCCGCACAGGTCGGCTTGAAGCTGGCTCCATCCCAATGGGCACTTTTCGACAACACTACACCCCCCACCCCCAAAAGTTCTAAGAACAACGGGTTATACAAAAGAAGAGAGATGGGAGGGGCCAAAAAGACACTTCAGAAGAAGAGAGAGGAGTGCTATAAAAGTCACTCTGTCTTCTTCACCCATCCTCAACACTGAATTGATCCCACTTGGCTAAACCTTGAACCGGGTGTTCCCACCTTCATTGAGAACGTCATACTCTGACCTACCCCTTACTTTCCCGGAAGCCTTCAGTAAGGAACTGTTCCGCTTTGAGAACTAAATCTCGTCATGCATGCAATGTAGGGTGAGCGTTCGCTCCTCAACCTCTCAATATAAAAAAGGGTTGAAACAGCAAATTTCGGAATTTTTTCGGAGTTCAAAAAAAAGTCCACTTTCACCCCAAATCTTGCTTCTTCCCCATCCTCTCCAAAATTACAACCCGCCTTCGTTGGGGCCTCCCGAGGACGTCTGTACTTGTTCGCAAATATGACCCCTCCCTTAATAAGGAGCCTTCCCTCTAGCGTCGGATTTCTGCTATTTGCTTATGGCGCCCTAGGCGTTCTGCGTCCTTCAACATTTTGATCTCGAAATGCCATGGTATGTGCAGATAAGAAATATTAGGCTGTCTCATAAGAACTGCCATTTTTATCAGATGGACCTCCCCCGCACGCCCCCTCCTGCGATTTCCATATTCTATCTAATCACATTCACATAAAATTAGACAAAAGCTCTTCCTGTGAAAAAAATCACCCTGAGAGAAAAATTTACTTTTGTAAATTTTGATCAAACTAGGGAAGGTCCTCCTCTGAGCAGAAACCCCGTCCGTGACGAGAAAATAGGGATGTTGTCACAAAAACGCACGCTAGAACCTTATCAGAGCACTTAGCGAAAGGAAGAACACATAAAACACCTCAAAATCGAAAAATTGGGGTTGAGATTATCGGAGAAAGCGGCACATGATTCCAACGCTACCACCATTAAATCGCGGTTCAGTTATCGCTGAACCCTGATAGCATTTTTTCCGACAAAACCATGATGCACACTTTCTTCTGAAAAATAAAAATCCCCAGAAAATGGGCGGCCCATTGCTCCGAAGGATTTGCATGGCGCTGCCCGAGAACCCGAAAGCGCGGGTGGAACCGATCAAGAATCAGAGATAAGAGCACGGCCAGCGAAATAAGTGCACACTCGCTTCGAGGGCAGCTAAAAGATCTCAAGTAGCAATCATATGAGAGTTATGGCTTCTATTTGAACATTGAACATTGCAGTGTTTAGGCAAATTGCGGGCAGGGTGCCAAGTGGCTTACGGCGGTCGTCAGAGGGCGG